GGCCCCTCCTTCTTCATGATACTGCTGCCCCCACCCCTCTGCCCCTTTGCTCCTGGCTTGTCTATTTCCCAACTCCCATGACCTCTCCTAACTCAAACCCTCCACACACACACACACACACACACACACACACACACACACACACACACCAGAGTCCTCTCAGGACATTCAATTCACTTGCCCAACGACACCCACATTTCCTTCTGTGCTCCTCCCCTTCATTCTGGTCCAGATGGGGGCCACCCCTGTCTACTACCCCTGTTTCTCTAGGTGCCATCTTCCGGAACCAAGCCCACAGAAGCCTCTGGAATACCATGAGCAGGGCAGCCCCCTCCCCACCATGTACCCCTCACCTGTGACCACTGGTAGGAGCAGCAGGAGGAAGAAAGAGGCCTTGAGGCCCCAGCTCCAGGTGGTGGGGGACATGGTGGCGGGGAGGGGGCAGAGCTGACTCAGGCAGGTAGAAGCTGCTGGTTCGGCGAGGTGGAGCAGTCACAGGCGCCTGCTGCTTTATACCAGTCTCCCGCCCTAGGCCCAGCCGGAGCAGGTGACAGGTGACAAACTACCTGCCTCCTCCCCCTTTCCCTCTCTCTTTCCTCCTCCTCCTCCCAGCGTTTCCTGGCCCCTCAGGTCCTTGGGGCTCCAATCACTCAACCTTCTCATAACCTGTTTGCTCTCCCCCCTTTCACAACCACTCCCTAGCTACAGGAGAGAGAATGTATGAGTGTGAGTGTGAGCACGTGTACACACACATGTGGTGGGGCGCCTTGGGGTCCCAAGCCCCCATTATTCGCCTTTCTGGCCTGCCGGCAATAGGGAGGGTGAGAGAAGGGCACGGAGAAAAGGGGACTTAAGTCAAGGTCCTGGACAACAACCCTCTCTGACACCCTCTGTTCCGTTCCACTTCCCGGCTCTTACCCAAGCCCCATTCTGAGGGCTGGGGTGGTGGTGGGGTGGTGGCGGGGGAGGGTGCGGGGAGGAAAGGGTTTAATAATTAGTGGATTAAGTGCTAGTGGTGGACTCCCCCCGCTACCACTTCTCGGAATAGCCCCACCCTTCTAACCGTTCCTTGTCCTGTCCTGTTCCCTGTGCGGTTTTACCCCGAAACCCACAACCCCCGCTCGCCAGGGGCGGGCTTTCCAGCAGGTTGGGTCTCTCCCGGGCTGTCTCCCTAGCCGGGGGCGGGGGAAGACATTTCCACTTAAAGAGGGACAAA